AGCTCCATAACATAACAGTATAAGGTAAAACAGCAAGCTATCCAGAAGATCTAAGTAGGTAATTAATGAAAATGGCTACAGTGAGTGAGAGATTTTCAATGTAGAAGAAATAGCCTTCTATTGAAACAAGATGCCATCTAAATCCTTCATAGCTACAGATGAGAAGTCAACGCCTATCTTCAAACAATAGACCATATCTCTTGTTAGGGGCTAATGAGCTGGTGGCTTGAAGTTGAAGTCAATGTTCATTGACCCTTCTGAAAATCCTAGGGTTCTTAAGAATTAGGCTTGATTTACTCTGCCTGTGTTCTCTATCCATGGACAACAAAGCTTGGATGACAACACATCTGTTTACAACACAGTTTACTGAATATTTGAAGTCCACTGTTGAGACCTACTACTGAGGAGAAAAAAATCCTTTCAAAATGTGACTACTTACTGAGAATGCACCTGGTCACCCAAGAGCTATGACAGAGATGTATAGTGAGATACATGTTGTGTTCATGCCTGCTAACACATCATTTTGCAGCCCATGGATCAAGGAGTAATTTCCACTTGTCCAAGTCTTGTTATTTAGGAAATACACATTTTGTAAGCCTATAGCTGTCACAGATACTCCTCTAATGGATCTGGGCAAACTTTATTGAAAACTTTCTGGAAAGGATTCACCATTCTAGATGTTATGAAGAACATTCACAATTCAAGGGAGAAGCCAAAATATCAACATGAACATGAGTTTAGAAGAAGTTGATTTGAACCCTCATAGATGACTTTGAGTGGTTCAAGAATGCCTTAGAGGAAGTAAGTGCAGATGGGGTAGAGACAACAAGAAGATTAGAATTACAAGTGGAGGCTGAAGATGTAACTGAATTGCTGCAATCTCATGATAAAACTTGAATGGATGGAGAAGATGTGGCATATATATACATATACACACACACACACATATATACGCATACACACACAATGGAATACTACTTGGAGAACAAAAAGAATGAAATCTTGCCATTTGCAATAATGTGGATGGAATTAGAGCATATTATGATTAGCGAAATAAGTCAGAGAAACACAGCTATCATATGATTTCACTCAGGTGGAATTTAAGAAACACAATAGATGAACATAGGGGAAGGGGAGAAAAATACGACAAAAACAGACAGGGAGACAAACCATAAGAGACTCTTAAATACAGAGAAGAAACTGAGTGTTGCTGGAGAGAGGCGGGGGTTGGGGGAATGTGCTAAATGGGTGATGGGCATTAAAGAAGGCACTTATTGGGATGAACACTGTGTGTTACAAGGAAGTGATGAATCACCGTGTTCTATACCTGAAACCACGACAACACTGTATGGTAAATAACTTGAATTTAAAGAAATTTTTTTAAAAACTTGAATGAATGAAGGTTTAATTCTTATGGATGAACCAAAGTAGTTTCTGGAAATAGAATGTTGTACTCCTGGTGAAGATTCTGTGGCTATTTTTGAAATGACAACAGAGGAGTTGGAATGCTACGTAAACTTAGTTGATCATGCATCAACAGGATTTGAGAGGATTGACTTTAATTTTGAAAGAAGTTCTATTGTGGGCACAATACTACCAAACAGCATCCCAGACTGTAGGGAAATTGTTCTTGAAAGGAAGCATCCATCAATGCAGCAAACTTTTTATTGTCTTATTTTAAGAAATTGCAATAGCCATTCAGCAACTACCACCCTCATCAGTCAGCAGCCATCATCAATCGTGGCAAGACCCTTGACCGGGGTGGGGGGGGAGGGGGGGGAACTATGACTCCCTGAAAGCTCAGATGATGATTAGCATTTTTTAGCACCAAAGTATTTTTTAAAATTAAGGTATGTACTTTTTTAGACACAAGGCTATTGTACACCTAAGAGACTACACTATAGTATAAACATAACTTTTATATGCACTGGGAAACCAAAAAATTCATTTGAGTAGCTTTATTAAGATATTCACTTTTTTCGATATCTACAATTGGAACTGAACCTGCAGTATATCCATCTTATGTCTATACGTGAAAGAGGCTCAGCATCACTTAGGAGATACGTGCAAATCTAAACTTCAATGAGGTATCACCTCACACATGCTAGAATGGCTATTATCAAAAAGACAAGAGATCACCATTATGGCAAGGATGTGGAAAATGGGAGTCCTGTGTGAGGGACCACTATGAAAACTGGTATGGAGGTTCCTCAAAAAATTAAAAATATAACTATGAATCAACAATTCTAAGTATTCACTTGAAGAAAACGAAAACACTAATTAGAAAAGACATAGGGACCTCTGGGTGGCTCAGTCGGTTAAGCATCCAACTTCAGCTCAAGTCATGATCTCACAGTTCCTGGGTTTAGACCCACATTGGGCTCTGTGCTGACAGCTTGGAGCCTGCTTCAGATCTGTGTCTCTCTCACTCTCTGCCCCTCCCCCACTTGCACTCTCTCTCAAAAGCAAACATTAAAATTTCTTTTCCAGAAAAAGTCATAAGCCCTCCTATGTTGACTGAGACATTTTTTCAATAGCCAATATATAGAAACAACCTAAGTGTCCGTCAACAGATGAATGGATATAGAAGTGTTATATAGATAGATATATAGGACAGCCAGCCATTTGTGACAACCTGGTTGGACCTTGAGGGCATTATGCTACATGAAGCAAACTAGATAAAGACAAATATCGCATGACATTACTTACATATGGATTCTATTTTTAAAAAATCAAATCATAGGGGCACCTGGGTGGCTCAGTCAGTTGAGCGTCTTGACTTCGGCTCAGGTCATGATCGCATGGTTTATGAGTTCGAACCCCGTGTCAGGCTCGGGGCTGACAGCTTGGAGCCTGGAGCCTGCTTCAGATTCTGTGTGTCTCTCTCTCTGCCCCTCCCGTGCTCATGCTCTCTCTCGCTCTCTCTCTCAACCATAAATAAATGTTAATTTTTTTTTAAATCAAATTCATAGAAACAAAGAGTAGAAAAGTAATTGCCAGTACCTAAGGGGAGATAGGGAGAGTTTGGTAAAAGGGTACAAACTTTCAGCTATACTATGAATATACTCTGAGGATCTAATAAAATGTGATGACTTACAATTGATAACACTGTGAAATTAAATATTGTCACCAAAGGGGGAAAATGATAAATATGTGGATAATGGAAATGTTATTTAATGGGGGAAGGGGTTATCTTTTCACAATGTCTAAGTATATCAGATCACCTAAATGTACACTTGAAATATCTTACAATTTTATTTGTCCATTTAAACTGAAACTCAGACTTTAAAGAAAAAAATGATAACACAAAAAAGCAAAAGTCATTTCCTATTAAAAAGGATAAAAGTAGAAGTTATTAACAGATGTGTGAAATTTAAAGCTATAGGACCAGATTACATTACCTAGGAAGAAAGTGTAAATAAAAAGAACCCCTGGAAAAGTCTGTCACATAGACAGCATGAAGAGAGGCATGTTGAGCCAAAGAGAGCAAGATGAACCCCCAACAATTATGGAAGAAACCAAAAGCGTTAGGCAAATATACATGAGAAAATATTGCAAGGGGAGAATATTCTACATTGCCAAATGCTCCTGGCAAGTCAAATACAATGAGGACCAAGAATTGATCATTATTTTATGTTTTGCCTTATATTTAGTTGATTATGAAAAATAAATTTTTCATAATATATTTTGTTTCTTTTAGACATCTCTTTAACAAACAGAAAAAGCATTCTGCCTGAAAATGCAACTCATAGAAATTTTATTTATTGGGTGGCGAGCACTGTATTAAACCCTAGTGAGGAAAACAAGCCAAACCAGCTCAGAGTCTCTGTGAAATTATTCTGAACATTTTACTCAGTTCTTTACTCACATAGCCTATTCTTTTGATTATTGGAAGATGCACCTTGGCATAGTGAAGGCTGTAAGAAAAAAAATCATATCTAATTACTTTCCTAAACATCTTTTTTTTTAATTTATTTATTTTGAGAGGAGAAAGAATGCAGGCATGCGGGGGATGGCAGAAAGAATGGGACAAAGAGAATCCCAAGCAAGCTCCATGCTGTGGAGGTGGGTCTCGCTCCCACCAACCATGAGATCATGACCTGAGTTGAAACCAAGAGTCAGATGCTTAACTGACTGAACCATCCAGGCACCCCTCTCCTAATCATCTTTTATGAAATTCAATAATTAAAGGGAATTAAGGGTGTAGAAAAAGTTACAGAATACAGAACCTAGGAATAAAAAATAAAGCATAATTTTTCCAATAGTAGGGAACTTAATGACTTCATGAGCCGTCACTAGACCATGGGGCATGCAGATGTCAATTGCTGGTATTTCATGGTTCTGTAAACTAGACAAGCATCTCTTGCTAGCTTAGCTCTTTATTTTGAATATGTTCTTAGAGTGTCCTTTCAGGTGTGGTTCAAATACATTATTATTTTTAATTTTGGTGAAGGTCCCGATGCTACCTGTGCAGTATGGTATGTTCACCTTTGAAATTGGATATAAGGGATATGGAAAATAGAGAAGTGTGTTTCTTAAATTGATCTTACCTGTCCCAAACTTTGCCTTATTGAGCCTCATTGCTAAAATCATAATTCTTGGGAATTATAAAATCTGCTAGTAAATTTTATTTTTACTTATGGTCATGAATATATAAGAAGAATATCCGGTACTATGGAAGTTTTTGTTTTGTTTTGTTTTTTGTCCTTTTTTTTTTTTGCAACTAGTATATTACTCTAAACAGCGTTTTTTGTTAATGTGTTTTCTTTCTTAATCATCAGAATCTGCAACTCAAAATGTAAGGCATTCTTGAAACAGTACTAGAGAAATTGCTTTATTCAGAACGTTGAACTATAAAGTTTAGGGTAAGGTAATTTATTCGGATTCAAACTAAAGCACTTTTGTAAGGTGAGTTCAGAAGTGGACTATACGTGGGTGCTCCCAAAGATTCATACTGAGTATTTCCTCAGGATTTTTCTTTTTCCTTTTCTTTCCAACAGGAGGATTATACTGACTGTGGTGGTGTTTCTGGATTGAATCCCTCCCTGTGGTCCATCATTGGCATCCAGTTTGTACTACTTTGGCTTTTATCTGGCAGCAGACACTGCCAGTTGTGACCTTCTAAAACTAAATCTGCATAATTAAACTCCAGACCCCGCCAAAACATGAGCCCTTGGTCGCGTTAAAATAGGGTCAACTGTGGAATCAGCAGAACTAGCTGGGCCCATACCATGGCATAAATGTAAGGCGCAGACTCATATGACACCCACTGGCTGCATGTCAGGGTATCAGATCCTTGAACTTGTGTGAATGCTGCATCATCTATGTATAACATCAAAGCAAAATTTTATACATGCTCTATTGGAAGATTTGAGAGTTTGTCGTTGCATTGTTGGTGATTACATGTAAAAGGGCTCCCCATACTGTTTATGAATCATACAAATTGTCTTGACCTTGACATGGAATTTTGACCTACTGCAATTCTCGTTCTTTTACCAAGAAAATCTCTAGAGGAAAAAATGGAGTTATTTTTGCCTTCACGTATTCTTCTGTTAAAAATTATTTCCTGCTTTGAGTAATGGTTATTGAAAAAAAAAAAAACAAAACAAAACAGAGAGATTGGTGTAATCTGTTGAAATAGAAATAATGGCTAATTTTCTACAAAAAAAAATTTGCCATAAATAAAATGCCTTATGAAGAATGGCTTCTCTGCCAAAAATATAACACAAATGATGACCAATTAAGTTTAGCTGAGAGAATGAATTGGTGTTTGAAAATAATAACTAAGAAACTATTAAACTAAAGGTGCTTGAAGGTGCAATTTGAATATGTTACCTATTTCCTCATAAATGTAAGCCCTTAATAAATGCTTCGATGTAATGTTTCTTTTGTTCACAGTAAAGTTATGTAGTGCTAGCCAGATATTTCAAAAAGCTCTAAGAGAAACTTGTTGGGGGGAGGGGAAAACGTTTTTTCTTGTGATAAATGAACTTTGGTTACCAAGGGTATTTTGCATGATGCTGCTGCTACTTTAACTTTCGGTTTTTGTTTTTCTCTTACTGTAGAGTATAGTCCTTTGAAAAGTTAACTGAGTGACATTATTGTTATGTAAGACTCTGAACCTTGCAGTGGAATGCACTTAAGTCATCTTTACAAATGTCGTTCAATTACTCTGAATATACTGTGCAATGTCAATGCCGAATGATTGGGTTAGGGAAATGGTGAAATGGGAATTAATGGATTTTATACAGACTCGTGCTTTTGCCTGAAAACCTATGTACAGATATTTTAAGTACATAAATCAGATTTGACACATTTATTTTTTGAAGAGTACATATATGTTCTCAATGAAGATTCATACTAGGTTTCCTCTTTGTTCGTTTGAATAGTAGCACATAAAATCCAAACATTTCTGCTGCTGCTGCTTTTGTCCCTCCATTTTAAGCGGTATGATCACTTGACCAAAATTTCCATGCAGTTTGCTGAGGGTTTTATAGCAATCTGAACAAATAGGAAACCTTGAATCTGTATGTATACACATGAATACTTGATTGTGAATAATCAAAATTGTTTTTATACAGCCTCATTGGTGAAAATGATTAGTATAGTAAATCAGATATTTCATTATAGAGTAATATGGTAGATTATTATTTATGCTTTTCAAAATAATTTTCAAGAGTCAACAGTGTTTGAAGAAAGGGTAAAAACAATGAATGTGTAATTCTAGTTAAAGTGAGCAATTCTGCCGAAGGCTAGAAGTGTGCAGATATTTTTTATGGCAAGATGCATTTGTTCTTATTTTGAACATGCCAAATTCTGGTGTGTGTATATGCTGGAAATTTTCTTATATGTCATTTTTAAGTCAAAATCTTATTAACATTATCCAGCATGCTTTAATATGCTCTGCATATCAAAGACATAACCACGTCTTTAGCATAGCTTAAAAGACATTTGTTTTGTTTTTAGCTTTGCATACATTTGTCATTCCCTCTCACCACCAGTATACCCTAGGTACCATTTGTGTATATTTCCTTATTTAAACTATTTTTTATTTATAAATGGGGGGGAGCGGGAATGGAATCACTTTGCCAGCTATTGTTCTAGGAGTTGACATCAGTAACCATTTCTATCTCATTGTTGTGATTTTGTAGTCTCATTTGTAACTGGTATTGACATTTTAGAAAACACCAAAGTGATTTAAAAAAATACGGAACTTCTCACTCTAGTAACACTATGTTTAAATCATGTTGTTTGTTAATTAAATATTTAAAACTTCTTGTTAACTTTTGCTAGACTATTTTAGGTCATGAAAGTGTTGGGAAGGGGATATCAAAATATCAAATTATGTTAGTTCGTGTGTATATATGATGCACATTAAAACAACTGAATTGCTTCCAGCATACAACAAACTACCTTAAAATTATCCTTCAAATCTATTAAATATGTTTTCATGGCTAATGTCACTGAAATAGTATGTTTTCATCAACTGCATTATTGTTGCCTCCATCACAGTTAACCTTGGCATCTCTTGGCAGGGTCCTATTGATTCCATTTGCCATCAAAATATATTTACGTGCACGAGTCTTGCTATGATCCTTTTTTTTTTTGTTATAAAACAAACCTATATTATGAGACCCACATACATGGTGATAAATTGGGTAAGAACGTGCTTTCTGACTAAAAATTGTTCTTATGCCTAACACTGGCCTTCATACGTTTAGCATTTTTTCGAAGACAGTAACACTCATTCCGTCACACTGTTGTATTTAATTTAGGATTTTTCTGTGAGTTCTAATTGTCGACCAGAACTTAAATAGCCTGTTATAAATACTGGTTTTCAAAGACTAAACAATATAAGAGATCAAGAAAAAAAGCTTTTAGACTCTTAGGTTTATTTAATTTTGGCTCTACTCATCCAGTTTCATGTAGTTTGCCATTAGAACAAAATCAAAATAAGTCTTACATTGGTGTTGAGTAACAGGAATGATTTTTGCATTAATGGTTTCTTTATATTTTCTTCATTTGAACAACCAGCATTACTGCCAAACACCAATCGTGGTCCATATTTGTAACAGGTTTTTAACATGACATAGTTAGCAAGTTTGATTGAAGAGATTTCTAGGTCCTGGGCCTATAAGATTTTAGTATGATCTTTTTTCATGTTTCTAATGCTTGAGGCGTTACTGCTTAACTTGGAAAAACAACAAAACAGTGTTGCTGCCATTTGTAAGTTTTCCTATAATATTCCTTTTATTAACTTTAAAACTGGCCTTACTGGGTTCAAATAGGCAGTATCCCTTTTAAGTGACCTTTGCAACCCAAGTGTTACTTGCTTATTTGATGCTCTCTTCTATTTTACATCTCATTTTAATCTTTCTCTCCACCAAAGCTTAAATTCTATGTCTTAATTTAAAACTCTAAACTATTCCATTGATCGTTAGCTGACACTAAGAAATCTAGAGGTAGACAGCTTGACCTTGTGAAACAAAACGGACATTGTGACTTTTTTAAGTGTAGAATAGAATGAGTTCACGTGCCCACAGCTGAAAATATCTCATCGTTATCTAGAACTTGGTTGTTTTCCCATTAGCCGAATGTTAATATTGCTAATATTCCGTGTACCTTTCTGTAAACAGCAAATCAATACAACATAAGTATCGAGTGTTGAATAAATTCCAGAATTTCAAAGACTCAGATAACGCTTACCAATAGTTTCATCTACCTTACTTCTAGTTCACATAATTAACTCAAAGAAATTCCACGGAGACTAATGGGATACTGTCTTGTATAGATGCCGGTTGAGTTTACCGCGTGGCCTGACAAAGCTGTCTTTTTTGTTGTGCTGTATGATTGTTGGATCGTGCGTTTAGGATACTTTTATTGAAACGCTCAGTGTGCATCCATGCGAAAGGCCAATTGGCTCTGTGAACAAAAGATCTTTTCTCCCCTTTATTATGTTCTCTTGACACTTTTGTGGAAATTAACTAGCCTGATAAAACACATTTTGTAAAAATTTGTATAATACTGTTATAAAAATATTTATAATCCCAGAAAATGTTGTGTTAAATCTTGTGCAAAAACAGTATATTCAGAATAAAAGTTTATCATTTAAAGTCACCACAGTTTGGATTAATTATATAACGTCCAGCTGAAAGAGACACAAGTCTTTGTCCTAAATGTATTTTCATCAAGCCTTCCTGTGGGGAGCATGCAAGATAATGAAAATAAAACTTGGATTAGCAACGTGCTTTTCCTATCACAAACCTCTCACAAACAAATGTGCTTGCAAGTCCTTTACCTAGCCGTGACCCTTTCCCTATCGTTTTTGCCATCATCAAGGCCTGTGGGAAGGTAATAGTTCAGACTTTGGGCTTCAATTGTAAAAAAAAAAAAAAAAAAAGTTTCCTTGGGGGGGAAAACCATTTGAAAGAAACAAAGTTAGAATATCTGAAATGTGCCTATGTTTTATACATATGACTTTTAAATATTTCTCCTAGCAAACAGCAGCTGAAATAGTGAAGGCTCGTGTAAAGAATTAAAAAAAACAAACATACCCGTACACTTCTTTCACATTTATACCAGTTTACCACGTCCCCTCATATGCTCACCTCATAAATTAATGAGCCCCAAACTGTGTGGAATCTAGTGTAAAGTAAGCCTGCTTTTCTTTCTGGGGAGTCTCTTAAGAGAGAAAACTTAGTATGCATGGGAGGAATGCCGTATGTTGAGCACCAACGATGGTCATTACTGGAAAACCTGACCTCTAGTTTCTGATCAAGGCATTTTAACAGGAAAAAGCCTACATGAAAGTGTAAGGTGGATAACATTTGTTTTTTGAACATCTGGCTTTATTTTGTACCAAGTTATCTCCTCAATCAATCCTCTTACTCCCCAGAGACACCCTCATTTCCTCTATCAATCATCTCGAACCCCTCTCCACCTCTTCCCTTGGGACCTTGCTTCATCAATTCTCCTTTCTCAAGCATATTCAGTCTCCCCTTTCTGCAGGCTTCCTTCTCTCTGCTGGCAAACACATTCAGAACGCCTCTATTTAAAACAGACACAAAAATTAAACATCCACTGTTATCCCTTACCCCGATTACTTCCCAGAGTTGTA